GGCAGGCCAGCACAGACCGGGTCGCAAGTTCAACGAGAAGCACTGGAACACGCACAGAGTTAGTGACTGGTCTGCTCCGACTGGCTATCGAGCCCATGAGATCACATGAGATCGTGGAGACGCCGGCCGTGCGAGCGCACAAACCGGTCACCAGCAAACCGGGCAGCAAGTTTGACGGAGGACACCGGAGGAAGACGGAGAGGAGAAGGACGGGGAGGAGGAGAAGGAGCAGGAGGAGGAAGAGGAGGAGGAGGAGGAGGGGGGAGGAGAGGGGGAGGAGGATGAGGGGGAGGAGGATGAGGAGGAGGAGGAGGAGGAGGAGGAGGAGGAGGAGAACCCCAAACTGAATGAATGGTATGTGCTGGCTGGTCAAGTCAACGCGAGCATGCTCAGGGCCTGGGGGTGTGCACTGACAGGCCCCCAGGGGTGGCCCACGCTGACCTCAACAGGCCCCAGGGCAGCCCAAGGCAGCCTCAACGCGCTCGACGCCGCTGGAGGAGACGAGAGGGGACGGGTAAAAAAACAAGTATTCGGAACGGGCAGAGGCCCAGGGCTTCTTTCGGGAGGGTGATCGGTCCCTGATGCCAAGTTCGAAGGGGGCAGGCGGAAGAATATGCGATAAATAACCAGGTCCAAGGGGGCCGGCGGATGCAATGTTCAGGATGTCCCGAGCGAAACGCTGGTTTCCGAAATTCCGATCGATCAAACTCATGGTAACATGAACATGTTCGTTTGTTGCAGATTTCTCGAGAGAAACGCTTCTTTTGCAGAATTTGCTGAGGATGTCCCGGGCGAAACGCTTGATTCTCCTTTCTAAAAACAGAATAAGATCTACCCCCCCCGGGGCGTTATCGGTACCCCTTTCAGGTATGTACATCATACATGAGTCTGACCACATGTCCATCCTAAATATGAACTTACACTATCCCAGGGGGGGCGATATCCCGCCCCTGAGGTTCCCTGGTAAAAAAAACACTATGCGGTGTTATTTTTTGTTCTAACATAACACTGTTTCGCGAATCCCTTGCCAACAAATTGACGAAGTACACACGCGCGCGTCGTCGCGCGCGCATGCCGAAATCCTTCAAAAACCTTCGGTGCGGGAAAGATTTCGCAGTCGAGTTTCCAACAAAAAAACATACAAAACACAGGGCTTCGCAACACTAATGTGCCAAAAAACTTCCGCGCGAGCTCTTGCGAAATCTTCAGGAAACCATTGTTTTTTTCCAGATGTTCACGGGCTTCGCGCGCGCGCATGTCGAAATCTGTCGAACGCCCTTGCGCGTGTGCCGTCGCGAGAATCCTCTGCGAAAAAATTGGCGACGTGCAGACGCGCGCGTCGTCGCGCGCGTAGGCCGAAAACCTTGAAAACCCATCGGTTTCGGAAGGATGTCACAATCGCGTGTCCAAGAAACCTACAAAACCCCGAGGTTTCGCAACACGGATTTTCAACAAAAGCGTGCGCGCGCGCTCTTGCGTCGTCGTCGTCGTCGTCGTCCTCCCTCCTCCCGCGTCGTCGTCGTCGTCGCCTACGTCGTCCTCTGTCTTTCCTCGTGTTCGTCGTCGTCGTCCTCTTTGGCGTCGTGGTCGTTTCCGTCGTCGTTGTCGCCGTGGTCGTCTTTCCTCCTCCTCCCTCGTCGTCGTCGTCGTCCGTCGTCGGCGTCTCGTCGTCGTCCCTACTATTTCGTCGCCGTCGTCGTCGTCGTCGTTGTCGTCGTCGTCTTCCCTCCTCCCTCGTCGTTGTCGTCGTCGGCGTCGCCGTCCTTCCTCCTTCTTCGTCGTTTGCGTCGTCGCCGTCCTCCCTCCTCCCTCGTCGTTGTCGTTCTTGTCGTCGTTGTCGCCGTCGTCGTCCTCCCTCCTCCCTCGTCGTCTTCGGTGGCGACGTCGTCGTCGTCGTCGTCGTCGTCGGCATCGGCGTCGTCGTCGTCGTCGTCGTCGTCGGTGTCGTCGTTGTCGCCGCCGTCGTCGTCGTCGTCGTCGGCGTCGTTGACGTCGTCGTCGTCGGTGTCGTCGTTGTCGTCGTCGTCGTCATCGTCGTCGTCGTTGTCATCGTCGTCGTCGTCGTCGTCGTCGGCGGCGGCGTCGTTGTCGTCGGTGTCGTCGTCGTCGTCGTTGTCGGCGTCGTCGAAGTCATTGGAGACGTCGTCGGTGTCGTCGTAGTCGTTGTCGGCGGCGTCGTCGTCGTCGTCGTCGTCGTTGTCGCTGTCGTCTTCGGCGTCGCTGTCGCTGCCAAGTGCCATTTGGTACCCACCGTCACGGTCTTAAGAGATTTTGCCAGCCAAGTTGCGGGTGGGTGGGTGGGATGTTTGCGCGAGCAGTGGAGTGGACAACTCACTACGAACAGAAATTATATTCTCCCATAGATTGCTCCTCTCCTGGGGACCAGAATTTAATCGATGTTTCTGGCGAAATGCTTGTTTTCACGTGCCCAGGTCGCCCACGATGATTTCTAACATGGTTGTCCCCAGACGGGACCTGTGTTCACGCGTCCAGGCCACCCACGGGGGTATCTAAGATGTTGGTCCGGAGCTGGAGCCACGTGCTTTTACATGTCCAGGCCACCACCCAATGGGGTTTCGAAAATGGAGGCCCCGAGCTGAATACGTGCTTTCACGTGCCCAGGCAACCCAAAAGGGTATCGCACATGTTTGCCGCGAGCTGGAACCACGTGTTTGTTTCGTGCGCGGGCAGCCCAGAAGGGGGGTATCTAACATGTGGTCGTCTGGGGCCCCCCAGCGTGGGGCCCCCACGAGAGCCAAACCAAAGCATTAAAGCGACACCAACTGCGCAAGAACTTGGCAATGTCTCTTCGGCGGGCGCTTCCCTGCCTTACCCCTGGGGCATCGAACACGGTGGTCCCGAGCTGGAACCACGTGTTTCCAAGTGTCCAGGCCACCCAGAGAGGTATCTAGCATGGTGGCCCCGAGCTGGAACCGCGTGTTTTTGTTACGAGTCCGGGCCAACAGGCGGGTATCTAAGATGGTGGTCCCGAGCTGGAGCCATGTCTTGTCCAGGGGGTGGGGGGTCAAATGCTTGCTTCTTGCCCCTCGCTGGAAGCACGTGTTGTCACGTGCCCAGGCCACCCAAAGAGGCATCCAACATGGTGGCCCCGAGCTGGAGCCACGTGTTTTGCACGTGTGCGGGCCACCCAAAGGGGAGGGGTATCTAACGATTGGCCCCCCCATCGCGGAGGCCCACGAGAGCCAGGCAAAACCAACAAATCGGCATCAGGTGTGTAAAAATCTGACACAGTTTCTTCGGCTGGCGATTTCTCCAAATTTCCAACTGGGGTATCGAACATGGCGGTCCCAAGCTGGAGCCACGTGTTTTCACCTGTCCAGGCCACCCAGGTGGATATCTAACACGGTGGTCCCGAGCTGAAGACACGTGCTTTTTTTGTTCACATGCCCCGATCACCGATGGCGGTACAGAATATGGATGCCCCGAGCTGGAACCACGTGTTTGAACATGCCGAGACCACCCAGGGAGATCCAGCATGTGTTCTTTTTGTCAGCAGCGCGCGCGAGAGCCCCAACTCCATGAACAACCACGCAAGCGAGCACTCCATTGAACACCAGTGGCACCAGACCACCCAGGGATATCCAGCATGAGGGTCAGAACTGGAACCACGTGTTCTCACTGTTCCCACGTGTCCAAGCCACCCATGGGGGTATCTAACGTGGTGGCCCCGAGGTGGAAGCCGGATTTTTTACGTGCCCGGGTCGCCCAGGAGGGGGTGGATATTTAAAACGGTTGCGTCTTGCCCCTCGCTGGCAACACGTGTTGACATGTGGCCAGGCCACCCAGAGAGGCATCTAACATGGTAGCCCCGAACTGAAACCAAGCGTTTTCACGTGCCCATGCCACCCAGGAAGGGTCATCCAACACGGTGGCCCCGAGCTGGCACCACATGTTGTCACGTGTCCAGGCCAAGGATGTGTTTAACGTAGTGGTCCCGAGCTAGAACCACGTGTTTCCACGTGTCCAGGCCACCCAGAAGGGATATCCAACATGGTTGCCCCGAGCTGGAACCACGTGTTTTTGCGCACGCGGGCCACCCACCGGTGTATCTAACATGTGATCGTCTGGGGCCACCCAGCGTGGGGGCCCACAGTAGCCAGACAAAACCAATAGATCGACACCAAATGTGCACACAAGAATATGACACGGTTTCTTTGGCTGGTGATTTTCCAGATTCCCAGCTGGGGTATCGAACATGGTGGTCCCGAGCTGAAGTCATGTGTTGTCACGTGTCCAGGCCACCCAGGCGGATCGCTAACATGGTGGTCCAGAGCTGGAGCCATGTGCTTTCACATGTCCAGGCCGCCCAAGGGGGTATCTAACATGGTTGCCCCGAGCTGGAACCACGTCTTCACGCGTCCAGGCTACACAAGGAGATATCCCGCATGTGGTCGTATGGCTCTATGTCTGGGTGTCTCGAGCGAGGACTGCGGACCTGAATCGGATCTTGAGCTCGAGCTGGTCGAGCACCACGCGCGTTTCGATTGCAACTAACCCAATATATGCGTTCAGACAGCTCGAGCTTAAGATCCAATTCGCTTCAGTCAGGATTGTGATGCCAAGGACGGCTGGACCCACACTGCAATAGCGCATGGCACAAACCAACGCGGCATGTCCCCTGGCGCGTCCCCTAGTACTTTCACTGGCACGTTCCGTGGCGCGTCCCTGGCACGTCAGTATGCGGCGCGGCACAGCGCAGAGCAGCACAACACACTACTTGGCAGAATATCACCATCATTGATATCTTCAGCACTGCCACTGCCCATCGCCCAATTGACGTGCTTGGAGACGATCCCATGCCTCACAGTTCTAGATCCCTTTCGGGGCTCGTGGGCCGATCAGGTTTAACGGGTGTTGGACATGACCATTCCAGACAACCCTGCTATCACGAGGAGCTCTTGACGACGAACGGAGGGCTTTTTTAGGGAACCGAACTCTATACACCGACGCCTTTGTCTGGCCTCGCAGTGAATCTCGCCGCACAGAGAAGCGGATCCTGTCGTATACGGGATCCTGATGTGCACATTCCTATATATTTCCCAAGGAAAACGGGGATCCTGGTGTATACATTCCTATACATTTCCTGGGATCCTGTGGTATATTTCCCCAGGAAAACGGGGAACTATTATACACCACGCCACCCCGACGTCGCCCCCGACCCTCAGAAAGTCCAGGGATTGAGAAACGGCCCGCCACTGGTGATGCTGGCCATGGCGAACCTCGGCCCCACGAAGAGGTACCCCCTGCCCTGGACCTCGACAGCGGCCCGCAAGCCGGAGCCCCTCCTCGACCCAAGGTGGCCCTCGCTTCGGAGCCCTGCCTGCACCTCCCAGGCATCTCCGTGCGCAAGAGGAGGAGGAGGAGGAGGAGGAGGAGGAGAAGGAGAAGGAGGAGGAGGAGGAGGAGGAGGAGGAGGAGGAGGAGGAGGAGGAGGAGGAGGAGGAGGAGGAGGGAGGAGGAGGAGGAGGAGGAGGAGTGCCCCTGGCCCAAAGGTGCCCCCAGGAGTTCCAAAGAGAGGCCCCCACGGCCTCCAGAGCACCCCTCACGAGGCCCCGAGGGCCTCAGGGGCTCCAAAATTGAGCGAAAAGCTGAGGGAACCCTGGGCCAGGGGAGCCTTTGGCAACACCCGAAAATGCCTTTCAAATCCCTCCGCCGCTCCTTGTACCGCGAGAAGATCATGCCCTGCCACCTCGGCCGGTCGGTCTCTCGGGCGGGCGTCTGTGAAAGCTCCGCGGCGCGCGATCGGAAGCTGCAGCACGGCTGCGTCATATCATCCAAGCGGATGCCTGTAATGATGGCGGCGATGAGTCCGTGGTGACAGCGGGGAGGGCAGAATCAGTCAACATCAAACCGAGAAAACAGATCGAATCGGAATGTACGTCGGACGGGGCTGCGTCGGCAAGGAACCGAACTCGAATCGGATCGGCCGCGCCATCGGATGCTCAATTGAGCCAGGCGAGCGCCGGGCCGCATCGGACCGGTGGAAAGAAGGAACTGAACTGGATCGGATGGGCCAACACCAACATCGAATCGGACAGGTCGGATCGAAAGGAGTCCTGGGAAGGTTGCGAAGATTACCTGCGGTCGGGAAGGTTTGTTTACCGTGTCGCGGCGGCGGCCACGGCGACACGCCATGCGCTGCGAGCGGAAAGCGTGTCGCGGCTGAGGAAGCCTCGGGGCGTTGATGCCCCGGGACCAGGACGCGGTTAGCGTGTCGAGGCCGAAGCAAGGCAGGCCAGAACCAGCGGAGCGACATGCTGACCTAAAGTTCCTGATCGCGGGTCGCTTAGATTAGCGCGTTCTCGCCGAGTGAAGCGCAAAACTCGGTCGTCTTCGCGCTCGCCCGTGGCGCCCCTGAAAGAAGAGGGCCCTCCGTCCTGGACCGCAGGTCGCGAAGCACAGTTCGACACTGGGCACAGACGGTAATAAGTGTCAGCCAACGCGGACCCATAACACCGTGTTTCTAGCCATCTATGGTCGGCGATCTACGTGGGACAACTTATGTTATGAAAAAAAGCTGGCTCGATCTAATTTTGAAGTATGCGTTGTGCAATAAATGTTGTGCGAACGATGTTGTGCGATCTACGTTATGCTGTTAATGTAGCTCAATTAGCCGAAGCTCACCAACGACTTGTCATCTCCACCGCTCGCGCCTTGGCTTGTAAAACCCATGCGGCGGCGAATCCGTTGAGTGCTTGGCGCTGGCGGCCGCATTGTTGCGGCCGCGCTGGCGTGCGCAGGCTCGCGCGCAGAGCGGCCAGCGAGTCTTGCGCGACCGACGCGGCCGCGGTGGCGCTGACCACTGTCGACTTCCAAGCGCGTCTCGCAGGCCGCGCTGGCGCGTGGGCGCTCCAGTGCGGGTCAGTTATCGGGCGGGCGCGGTATCATGGCGACGTCGACAACAGCAGACACGATGATGATAGTAGCTGTGCTGATGACGATGACGACGACGACAACACGGCCAATGGTGGCGCCGATGCTGATCACGCTGATGGCGATGATCGTATCCACGCGTCGGCGACGAAGGTCTTGGAATGATTACCACACGCACGCGCGGCCGATACGCGCAAGTGGCCCGCATGGTTCTGTCTGGCAGGGATACAACCCCAGCTAGCACGCAAGGGCGTTCGAATGATGTCGACGTGCGCGCGCGAAAGGCCCGTTTGGTAGCATGTGGTGACATTGTTAGAAAACCTACGGTATCCGTACAACTTGGCAGGGCCGCGCACACACCCTGTTTGACAACCGCATTGCGGAATCAGTGGTGTTTGTCTGCGTCGGGAAACTCCGCCGACCCTGTCGGCGTGTGCGAGGGGCTTGGCTGTTCGAGTCGTCGTCTCCGTCGGTCGTCGCCTCCGTCGTCCCCTTTCCCTGCAGCTTCCTTCTCAAGCTCGTGAGCGAGAGAAAAATCTAGCAGTGTCGTAATCGAGTCGAAGGGAAGCCCCTTCCCTTCGATCCCTTCCCCAGGGGGGGGGGTCCGGGGGGGTCCCGGGGGGGGTCCCGGGCCGGGGGGTGTCCCGGGGGGGGTGGGGGGGCAGATTCGTTTTCCCTCGGGCGGCCTAGAAACCTCGAAAACACTCCAAATGAGGTCCGAATGCCCAAGATGGCCCCCGAGACGGCCCAAGAGGGCCCCGAGTCGCCCAAAGATCGGCCGAAAACGCCCACGATAGCCCCAAGACCGTCCAAGAAGCCTCCAAGACGTCCCAGGCCCCTCCAAGAGACCCCCAGAAGGCCCCAAGAGGCCCCCACGAGGCTTCCAAGCGGCCCCTGAGAGCTTCCCAAGAAGCCCACAAACTACCCCCAAGAGGCCCCCAAGAGCGCTCGTCGTCGTCGTCGTCGTCGTCGTCGTCGTCGTCGTCGTCGTCGTCGTCGTCGCCATTCAGAGTCGGCGGCACCGGCCGTAAGGCCTTCGCAATAGAAAATCTGTAAGGAACGAAAGCGGCTGCTTAGAAAAGTTCGCCATCCGCGCGCAAACACGCGCGCGATTTGGGGGAACTGCTGAGTTGTGCTAAACGAGCGCGCGCATTATATGATCGGGATCATGGGGGGGGCGACATGTGCCTGGCTGGGATTGTATGAACTCATGCTACCCTGGGCGATGAGGGAGAATCCTATGAAAATGGCAATGCCCCAGTGCGGCAACAAACCGTGGGGGAGATCCTAGAGGGGAGCGAATTAACTTTATCACTCCTGAAGCTAACAACTCCAGTGGTCGCGCAATCACCCCACCCACCCAGCCGCACTTTGGTTTGCAAAACCCATGCGGCGGCGATTACGTTGACTGCTTGGCGCTGGCGGGCGCATCGCTGCGGCCGCGCTGGCGTGCGCAGGCTTGCGCGCAGAGCGGCCAGCTGGTCAGCTAGTCTGGCGCGACCGACGCGGCCGCGGTGGCGCTGACAACCGTCGACTTCCCAGCACGTTTCGCAGGCCGCGCTGGCGCGCGGGCGCTTCAATACGAGTCGGTGACTCGGGCGGGCGCAATATCATGTCGACGTCGGCACAGGCGAACGAGATGCGGATAGTAGCGATGATGGTGACGACGATGACGATGACGACGGCAAGGCCGATGACGGCGCCGATGCCGATCGCGCCGATGACGATGATCGTGCCCACGCATCGGCGATGAAGGTTCTGGAATGATTACAACATGCGCGCGCAGCCGACATGCGCGAGTGGCCCGCATGGTACTCTCTGACAAGGATCGTGCCCTGCCCCCCACCTCCCCCCAACAAGCGCGCAAAGGCGATCGAATGATGTCGACGTGCGCGCGCGAGAGGCCCGCGTGGTCTCATTTGACAAAAATGCAGAAAACCCAAACAAATGATGGCTGCAAGTGGTCAAATCCGCAAGAGCAGGCGCGTCGATGTGCTTGAGCCGTCCTGTTGCGAAAATGAATCCCGCACAAAACCCAAGGTTTCTGAAGGAATTGAGCAGAGCAGGTGTAGAGCAGGCGCGGGGTAGAGTAGGGCATGAGCAAAATAAAGTAAAGTAGAATATGTGGGGGTACGGGATGGTGAAGTAGAGTAGGGCTGAGCAGAAATGAGTTGAGGAGAGGAGAGGAGAGCAGAGTAGAGAAGAGGAGTATAGTAGAGTAAGTGTAGAGTAAAGTAGAATAAGAGTAGAGGAGAGCAGATTAGAGCAATGTAATGTAAAGTAGAATAGAATAATATAGAATGAGAGCAAAGTGAGGTAGAATACGACAGCGCACGGTGAAGTGGAGCAGAATAAGATAGAACAGAGCCGGGCAAATATAATTGAGTAGCGAGGAACAGACGAGTAAAGTAAAGCAGGAAGATCGTAACACATAAATGAGTAAAGCAGGGTAGAGTAGGAGCTGAGTACGAGTATGTAACCAGGAGCAAAGAAGGGTATAGTAGAGTAGGTTCGGGTACGGTAGAAGAGAGTAGAGCAGAGTAGAACAGGGCAGAATATAATAGAGTCGAGAGGAGTAGAAAAGACATAGAGTAGGGTAGGAGCAACATTGAATATAGTAGAGTATACAAAGATACAGTAGGGTAGAGCAGAGTAGGGCACAACGAAGGGCCAAATAAGAGTAGAGTACAATACGGTAGAGTAGAGTAGAGGAACGTTGAGTTGAGTATTATCAGACAGATTAGGGTAGGGTAGCGAAAAACATACACTAGGGCCCTAGTGGGATACTGAGAGAGCTGGATCGAGCCCTGGTAGAAATCCAACAGGGCTGGCGCCTGGCGCGGGCGCTGGCGACAGGTGCGCCGCCGCCACCGCTGACGGCGTCGTAGTTTTCGGCGTCGTCGTCGTCGTCCTCGGCGTCGTCGTCGCCGGCGTCGTTGTCGTGGATGTCGTCTTCACCGTCACCGTCGTCATCATCTTCGCCGGCATCGGCGTCGGAGTCGGCGTCGGCACCGGCGCTAGCGTCGTCGTGGTTGTCGTCGTCGTGCGTCGTGCCTCGTGCGTCGTGCGTCATGCGTGGTAGTCGTCGCCGTCGTGGTCGACGTCGTCGTCGTCGTCGGCGTCGCGATAGTCGCCGTCGCCAAAATCGGCATGGTCGTCGTCGGCGTCGTCGGCGTCGTCGTCGTCGTCAGCGGCGGCGTCGGCGTCGTCGTCGTCGGCGTCGGCGTCGTCGTCGTCGCCGTCGTCGTCGTCGTCGTCGTCGCCGTCGTCGGTGTCGCGATGGTTGCCGTCGCCATAATCGTCGTTGTCGTCGTCGGCGTCGTCGTCGTCAGCGTCGGCGTCGGGGACGGCGTCGGCATCTGCGTCGGCGCTGGCGCCGGCGCCGGTGTCGTGCGTCGTGCGACGTGCGTCGCGCGTGGTGAATCGTGCATCGTCGTCATCGTATTCGTCGCCGTCGTCGTCGTGAACGCCGTCGTTCTAGTCGTCGTCGTCGTCGTCGTCGTCGTCGTCGTCGTCGTCGTCGTCGTCATCGTCGTCGTGAACGTCGTCGGCGTCGTCGTCGTCGTCGGCGTCGTCGTCGTCGGCGTTTTCTTCGTCGTCAGCGTCGTCGTCGTCGTTGCCAGGGGGGCTGGGGGGGTCCAGACCCCCCCGACTAACGATTCCGGGGGGGGGGGGTCCAGACCCCACCAGCCAATTTCCAGGGGGGGGATTTCCGGACACACCGGCTAATTTTCCCTGGGGGGTGGGGTCTGGACCCCCCTGCTCATTTTCCCCAGAAGGGGGGGGGGTCCTGAACCCCCACCCCTGGTTTGGAGA